AGGGCCGCCTTCGTCAGTCTCCGCATACAGCGCGTGCCGCCTCAAACGGCGCCGCGAATTCTTTACATCACTGTTAATAAAGTCAAGATACATTTATCAGCCTTCCCCCCCCCCTCTCTCTCTCTCTCTCTCTCTCTCTCTCTCTCTTTCTCTCTCTCTCTAATCCTCCTGTATATTCTCTCTTCCCGTTCACCCCCTTCTCCCGTTTCTCCACCGCCCCTCCCCTCACTCAGCTCCCTCTTCCTTCTACTTTCCCCGGCATCCCCTTGGCACCAACCAGCGCTTCCGGAGGTCCTGCCTTCGCTCCCACACCCTACAATAAGTCCTTCCGCCGGGCCAATGCCACTTCAGTGTTGTAGATGGAGGGGAAAGTGGGAAACGGGAGGGGGAGGGGGGAGGGGGAGGAAATGGAGGATAGGAGGGAGGAGGGAAGGAAAGGGGGATGGATAGGGGGATGGATGAGGATGGAGGGAAAATAGAGGTGAAGAGGGGGAAGGGAGAAGAGCGAAGAGAAAAAGGAGAGAGAGAGAGAGAGAGAGAGAGAGAGCAGAGAGAGAGAGAGAGAGAGAGAGAGAGAGAGAGAGAGAGAGAGAGAGAGAGAGAGAGAGAGAGAGAGAGAGAGAGAGAGAGAGAGAGAGAGAGAGAGAGAGAGAGAGAGAGAGAGAGAGAGAGAGAGATAAGGAAAAATAAAAGAGTACAAGACCGGCAACAGATCCAAACCTCGTTTCACCGCCCTTTAAAGCGTGAACTATTGTTAACCTCTGAGGACCTCGCGTGAAGTAGGACATGTAACGCGACAAATAGGTTATCAATACAATACTTCTCGAACAATCGAAATCCTCGTCCGTGGGGAGTGCGTCGCCTTTTCTCCTCCCTTCGGCCCCTTTCCGCCCGCCGCCTATCCTAAGCATCCTTCACGCCAGACAGACCCGAGAGACTCCTACATCACCTCCTTAATCTCTCCGCCGACTCCCTCGAGAAGGTTCTTCGAAGCCTTATTCCATACAGAGTCCAACGTCGCAATTGCCTTAGCTTCCCGCGAACACGTATGGGTTATTTATCAAATGAAAATGGAGAGAAATCACTCTCATAAGAATGGAAATATATGGTCACATTATGTCCACCATTACCGGAAACATAGCCAAGCATTCGGACATGTATCCATACAATGTCGACGATCCCCTGAAACATACCCAGGCATTCGGACACGTAGCCATACTATGTCGACGATTCCCTGAAACATACCCAGGCATTCGGACACGTAGCCATACTATGTCGACGATTCCCTGAAACATACCCAGGCATTCGGACACGTAGCCATACTATGTCGACGATCCCTGAAACATACCCAGGCATTTCTAGCCATATAACTATTTCGACGATACCTAAGATAGGTCCAAGAAGCGTGGAATTCTCTGTAGACATACTATGTCGACGATCCCCTGAAACATACCCAGGCATTCGGACACGTAGCCATACTATGTCGACGATTCCCTGAAACATACCCAAGAATTCGAACAAAGAGCGTGTTCTAGGTACTATAAGGCAATTCGGGAGCGACGTTATTACCCAGTGTGAGTTACGACAGCTAATACGCTCCCCCTGTTCCCGCTTCCGAGAAGGTGCTCCCCGTTATGAGATGCTCCCCAGACCCCCAGCCTCCTTCCTGGTTCCGAGAAGAAGGCGACGGAAAAGCAAGGGGAAAGACGAAAAGGAGAGGGAAGGAAGAAAATGAGAAGGAAAAGGAGAGAACAGTGGAAGAAGGAGAGAATCGTGGGAGAGGGCGAGAAGCGTGGGAGAGGGCGAGAAGAGTGGAAGAGGGAGAGAAGTGTGGGAGAGGGAGAGAAGTGTGGGAGAGGGAGAGAAGCGTGGGAGAGAGGGGAAAGAGAGAGAGGGAAGAGGGGAAGAGAGAGAGGGAAGAGGGGAAAGAGAGAGGGAAGGGGAAAGAGAGAGAGGGAAGAGGGGAAAGAGAAAGAGGGAAGAGGAGAAAGACAGACGGATTGAGAAGAGAAGTGAGGGAAGAGAAGAGAGGGAGCACTCCTGGGAGGAACCGAGGGGAGGGAAGGAGGCGGGGAGGAGGCGGGAGGGCGGCACTGAGGGCGACGGCGGAATTACAGATCCAGGAGGACGTATCTCAGGCTCTCAATCTTCGGAATTTAGGAGGTCATTTCCAGAATTTTCGACAACTGTAACTGTTTACATTCCCAGATTCCCGGAACCGTGAAGGCCTATCGGAACCAATTTCCGACCGGAATTTTGAGAAGGGCAGAGTTCACGCACCCGAGAGACTACGGCCCGGGTTCGCTTTGCATCGATTCCTTGAAAGACCAAAGTATTTTTAGTCCGAAAAAAGACACGCACAAAAGGCGAACTGCATACCACCGCAAGAACAATTATACCCAAACGATAACAAAATCAAAACAATGTAACCATACAGAGAAATGAAAAAGGTCAAAATAATCAACCGTCGTGACAGCCTCTCGAAGCCGATCACTCTCCATTTTGCGCCAAAAAAAAAAAAAAAAAAAAAAAAAAAAAAAAAACAAGGCGAATCGAACCGAAAAGACAGACTGCAAAGAAACCGACCAAATTCATGGACCCTTGCGAAAGAAAAGAAAACGTGAAAGAAAAAAAAATAAAATGGAGACGCAAAAAAATGAAGACAAAAATAACAAAAAACAAAGAGTAATTAGCAGCAAGAGGAAGGAAGAGGAGGAAGGCAAGGAGGGGGGAGGGGGCCGAGAGGTGAAGGAGATGGAAAGGCAAATGCGGAAACAATTAAAATATACATAAAAGAAACTGTGAAATGCAGGAAGAGAAACTACACATTAAAACAATATAATAGAGGGAAAGGAAAGACCCACAAAAAAAAACATACAAAATAAATACCAACAATATATTGACCGAACAATACCGCAAACCCCCCCTCCTCCCAAAGCCTCCCTCCCTCTCTCCCACCCCCCCTTCCAAATAAAGAAAAAAAATCACGATATCGAGATTATAAACAAACACGGCATGTAGGCTCAGGGAGAGCGGGTCGGCCGACATTATCTGATCTTGTAGACCTTCGGGAAAAATGCGATCGTCTCTCTCAACAAGCGTGTAGTGCTCGGTAAACATGACAACAACAACCGAATTATCAGTGCGAGTGGAGATGATGATGAAGAGGGGGGGGGGTAGAAGGAAAGGAGGAGGTGGGGTAAGGGGATAAGAGGGAAACTAAGAAAAAAAAAAACTAGTGTATTCTTTAAAAGATTTTATCATTATCGTAAATCATCAACATTATTGTTTTATCATTTCCATCTCCATCATCACCATCATCATCCTACTACTAAAACAACCAATATCTAAATCTAGAGATAAAAGAAAGAGGAGAAACACCAATTGAAGAAAAATATATAATAACACAAACAAATCGATGAATAACCGGCAAAACAAATGAGCCTAGGCCTATCGCCTCCTACGCCCAATCATAATCTGAGATATTGATCAATAACCAGCCCTGCCCCTCCCCCACCCGTACCCTAGCCCTCCCCGACTGAACACGACCCCCTCCTAGCTCTCTCCCCCTCCCCGTTAGGATAATATAGGCCTACGATCCGGTCTCTGATTTTGAAACAACCATCACCTCACTCACTCTCTCATCCCCCCCCTCCCCTCTCATCTCTCTCTCTCTCTCTCTCTCTTCTCATCTCTCTCTTTCTCTTCTTCTCTCTCTCTCTCTTCTCTCTCTCTCTCTCTCTCTCTCTAACACCCCAATCCCCTTTCTTCTAATCTTCATTCTACGCTCCCTGCGTTAATCCCTCTATTTATCTCCTATGCCCTATTCCCTTACACTTTACCTTCTCTTACTTTTTTGTATCGCATCTTCCTCCTCTCCATTCCCTATCCCATAATCCTTGAACCCTATCACCCATCCCTCTCCTATTCCCTCTCCCCGTACCTTTTACCCCTTATTCCCTGTCGCTACCCATTAGCCTCCCCTTCCTATTCCCTTTCCCCTTAAACACCCTTCCCCACACACTCCCCCCCACCCTGACCCGTCCCTGGCGCCCGTCCAACCCCAGACGCCTGACGAAGGGGCCACCCTCGTGCGCCTGTCGAGTCCGCGGGGGGCCGAGTCTAAACCGTGTGAAAGGCTAGGCAAGCGTTCGTGTGCGTGTGCGTGTGCGTGCGTGTGGTGTGTGCGTGCGTTTAGGAGGAGGAGCGATGTAACATAACTTTGGAGCGAGCAGAGGAAAAATGCTAGTCATCCAGGTGGCGGGGAAAACTGCTATGTTGTGTCAATGTTTCGAGGAGGGAGAGAGGGGGGAAGGAAAAGGGAGAAGGGGAAGGAGGAAAGGAGGCAGGCAAGGAATTGGGGTAGATAGAGTGATAGAGAGAGAGAGAGAGAGAGAGAGAGAGAGAGAGAGAGAGAGAGAGAGAGAGAGAGAGAGAGAGAGAGAGAGAGAGAGAGAGAGAGAGAGAGAGAGAGAGAGAGAAAGAAAGAGAGAGAGAGAGAGAGAGAGGAGAGAGAGAGAGAGAGAGAGAGAGAGAGAGAGAGAGAGAGAGAGGAGAGAGAGAGAGAGAGAGAGAGAGAGAGAGAGAGAGAGAGAGAGAGAGAGAGAGAGAGAGAGAGAGAATTTAACATAAACATATGCACTCTTCTTAAAATATCTACATAAAACAAGTTACTCCAAAAAGCAAACTAACAATATCATCCCAAAAGAAATATCCGAATTCAAAACCAAGCTAACCACCATCTAAGTAAAATGCCACGCACACACCCACAACACGTGAATCGGCGGTGTGTGAGCCACCCTAGAAAGAGCGGACATTTTTATATATCCCGCACAGGTGTGTAAACTCGGAACACCTGTTATGATGATGCCACGAGCATGTGTCGGGCTCATCAACCCCACGAGGCGACCGCCCCACGCGCCGCCTCTCACGGCCCAAGACACCATGTTCTTGCCCTTTCCCACGCCCATCCCCACCTCACGCCCACACTCTGACACGCTCTAGCCGGTAACCTGCAATCCGTTGTTAAGAATTGTCCGTAATTGTTATCAAATACCCTTCGAAAAATAAGAAAAATTAAATAAATTCTCCATGTCCCGTTGTTTACTTCTGTAGGCCGATCTAACCTGGCAAGAGGCGAGATCACACCCCGACACGCCCGAAAAGACAACTTTCTCCTCTATGCTACGCCCGTAACACATCTCCGCCACGCCTTTATCATGTCCTCCGGGGATCTTCACCTTCCACACACGCCCAAGCTCCCTGCCACACCCTCTCATGGGGCTTGCATGACGACGCCCTGGGCCACCAGGCACCCTTCTTCATTGCAAAACATCATCAGACTTCGTCACGAACATCCCTGGATGATACAACACTATTACCATATCTGTCCCACTTTCTCTCTCTCTCTCTCTCTCTCATTATCTTCTCATCCTCTTCTCCCATCTCTTTCATCCTCTCTTTCATCCTCTCTCTCACCTCTCTCTTCATCCTCTCTCTCACCTCTCTCTCTCCTCTCTCTCACCCTCTCTTTATCCTCTCTCCTCTCTCTCCTCACTCACTCATACATATATACATACATGCAAAGAGAAGTATTTGCACAAAGGCATACATACCAGCAGATCCACATAAAATAACAAGCCCCCACATCCTCTCCCAACGTCCGCAGAGAACGAAAACAGAGCCGGTTCGCGATCAGGCACTCACCTCTGAAGCTATTCCTCTTCACCCCAACGGAATTGTTGGGTTCGTCGTAGATGACATAGAGCGGCGTGGGGGGAGAGGACCCGCCGGACCCCCCCTCGCCCCGACTGGGCCCGCCCACTCGGTCGGGCACATCGGACCCGAAGTGGTTGGTCAGGTCAGCCGAGGCGCGTTTGTCTGTCGGGAAGAGAGAGATTTCTCATTAGGTTTGAAGAATGAGGCTGAAGTCACTTCCTTAAAATGGTATTGTGAGGGGCATCCTTTTGTACCTCATAGTTGGTATATATCTTTTACAATCAATTTCTTACCAGAGTTCAGAATGGTACCGCCAGCAAGTCAGCAATGGAATAAAAAAAAACAGCATAGACTACACACACACCTTTGCTTGCAACCTTCCTTGAGACAATGCCATAAACTACCAAACCTGCGACTATTTACCTTGGCCCTAAACTCATCAGAGGATTTGCAAAAGTCGTTCCCTTAAATATTTACTTAATCAGCTGACTTCAACGCCTTCGATTCCAGACGTGTGAAAACTAACGAGAAATTCCGTTTGAGGTTCGGTCTTCTGTCGCTGAATTTCGAATCAGAAAAATAAAGCCAAAAACCATAAACCAAAGAACAGCAAAGTGCTTAATGAATCACCGCAATTACTCCCCATTAGAGCCACACATCACACAGGCATTCATTTCCCTTGGCTCTTTGTTTTTATCCAAATTTCCATTTCCCACTTTTATCAACCAATCGACCAATTTATCACCCCAATGTCATCTCCATCGTTCTGTCCCTCCATCACAATTTACATTATTCATACCTCACACCCTTCAAATTCCTCCCGAACTCACCCAGAAGCCCAAGACAACCCTCCCCCCCCCCAACCTCCTTCAGTCTTAACCCTTCACCCTCAGTCGTCCATCCCCTCTCCAGCCCCCCACCCCATCCCCACCCTAGCCCCTCAGCCCACCCAAATGACACCGCTGTACAAAAAAAAAAAAAAAAAAAAAAAAAAAAAAAAAAAAAAAAAAAATCCACGGCGCGCTAACTTCGACCATCTTGAAGAAGCCGTTGTGGACAGGAGGTCGGGCGGAGGAGGGGTGGAGGGAGGGAGGAATGGGGGGATGGGTGGGGGTACGGGGGACGGAAGGGAAAGGAGTGTCTGCGGTGGCAAAGAGGGGGAGGTGAGGAGCGAGAAGGGGGAGGGGTGGGAAGAAAGGAGGGATAGGGAAAGGAAAGAGACCGAGAGGGAAGGGGGAAAAAGAAAGAGAGAGAGAATGAGGGAAGTGCATGGAAGCTCGGAAAAGCGAAGAGCGAGAAGGGGCGAGAGAGAGTAGAGGAGAGAGCAGCGGAGGAGGAGAAAAGAAGGAGACAGCAGGAAGGAGGCGAGAGGGAAGGGAAGAGAAAGACTGGAGGTGGTGGCGATCCTACATTCCACAAAGCCAACCACCTTCCCGCCCTCCCCGGTAGCTTTCCACTTATTTCTTGCCCTTTCATTCGGGGTTCGCTTTCGCCCTCACAACTTCCTTCTTTATTCCATTCACATATTTACCATTAACTGTTTTTTTTAACCTTTTAGGGCCTTTTGTTTCCTACTCTTCCCCTTTCACTTTTTTATATTATCTACAAATCTATCTGTTTCTATGTCTCTTTCTTGGCCTCAGCCCTATCATATTTCCGACACTTCCTTTTTCCTCGTTTTCTATTTGCCCTTCTTTTCTTTGCTAACCGTTTTCCTTCTGTCTCAGTCTCAGTCCCTGTCTCGTCTCTCTCTCTCTCTGCCATTATTTGTCTTCTCTTCTCCTTTCTTCTCCTTTCATCCAATGCTCTCTTTCTGTATGTCTTTCTTGTTTTTATATATTCCATACTTCCTTTCTTTTCTCTCTTCATCCTCTCTCTACCCCCTCCTCCCTCCCTCCCTCCTCCTCCCTCTCCTCTCTCTCCTCCCTTTCTCTCTCTCTCTCTCTCTCTCTCTCTCTCTCTCTCTCTCCTCTCTCTCTCTCTCTCTTCTCTCTCTCTCTCTCTCTCCTTCTTTTTTTTACACACCATTCCATTCCTTTTCTCCTTTCTATTCTATCCCGTTTCCCTTCTTTCGTTCCCTCCTCCCCTTCCCTTTCTCTTATCCTCCTACCCCCAATTCCATTCTTTCCATCCATCCTCCCTTCCTACCTTGTTTCCTTCCCCTCTTTCCGTCTTTTTCCTCTCTCGTTTTCTTCTTCCTTACTCTCCTGTCTTTTCTTTCTCTTCCCTCCCTTCATTCATTCCCTCGCCGCCTTCCCTTCTTCCCCATCTTCCTATCTTGTTCCCTTTCCTCTTTCCTTCCTTTTTCTTCTCTTTTTTCCAACCCTTTCCCTCCTTCCTTCCTCCCTTCATTAATTCCCTCGTCGCCTTCCCTTCTTTCCATCCATCCATCCCTCCTCCCTCCCTCTTCCTTCCTCCCTCCCTTCTTCCTTCTCTTCCCTCCCTTTCATTCATTTCTTTCCTTATCTTCCCCTTTCCTTCTTCCATCCTCCTCCTTCCTCCCTCCTTCCCTCCATCCCTCTTCCTCCTCCCTCCCTCCCTCCCTCCCTCCCTCCTCCCTCCCTCCTCTCCCCTTCCTCGCCTCCTTCCCCGGGGCAATTAATCCCGTGAGCCCAGGTCGCCATCACGTCCGCGTCGGGGCTCGGGTTGGCAGTGCGGGAGGGCTGAGCGAGGCCACATGACGGCACCTCCCGGGGGCTCCTTCGGCATCCTGCAGGAGTGTGGAAGGAAGGGAAGGGGAAGAGCGCAGGAGGGAATGGAAGGAGGAAGGATAGCGAAGCGAAACAAGAGGCAGAATCCGCATTTTTCAAATTTAAGCAAAGTTTTCTTTAGCATTGATTTATCACGGATTTTGGAGCAGGATTAAAAAATAAGTAATTCCAAATCGCGCTGTAAAAAGTGCCTTCATAGTGAGAGATAAGTAAAACACCCACTTGCGTTTCTTCTGAATAGAGAAAAAAAACGTACTCACCGGGCATAAAATTTGCATAAGCGATTCAGACTACAATCCACTCACAAGCACCGTCCGGCTCGAGAACCGTTAAAGCAGGGTGTGCATACTAAAAAGGTCCTTACCACACTACCTTCCGTCTGAATCGTACCCCCCAAAAATATAAATAAATAAATAAACTCCATATATTATCCTTGACTAGCAGACCTAACAACCGCATATTCCAAAATAACAAGCACGGGTTCATTATATCGAGGGCATACAAAAACTTAAACCGTGATTTTCTCAGTGACTCTGCATTTTATCGTCGCCACACCCCTTCTTCCTTCACCCCCACCCCCTACCCCCAAACTCCTCCCCCACTACCTGTATAACCGCCACACACACCAAACCTGTTCACATGTAAATATGATATACCTGTTCCTGTGCCGCGTGCTGTGTGCCCCCTCGACGCCACCACGCAATGAGCCGACGAGTAAGTACCGAGGAAGTATGTAAGTACCGCGCAACCCCGTCGTCCCGAAGTCGTGTCTTGCCGTTCTCGTAGCCATCGCCACCAACCTCTTTGGCCGAAACCCTCTTTACGGAGCGCTGGACGAGAGTACCCGATGGCCCGGACGGTAAGTCACACGTATATCCCCGGGGTCGTTTCCTTTCCCGAACAACCGAGTGCAGCCATCGGCGAATTAGGGAGAGAGGGAGAGAGGGAGGGAGGGAGACAGAGAGAGAGAGGGAGACAGACAGAGAGAGAGACAGACAGACAGACAGACAGCAGACAGAGAGAGAGAGAGAGAGAGAGAGAGAGAGAGAGAGAGAGAGAGAGAGAGAGAGAGAGAGAGAGAGAGAGAGAGAGAGAGAGAGAGAGAAGAGAGAGAGAGAGAGGCGGGGATAGGAACAGGGAGAGGAAGAAGAGAAGTGAGAAGACAGAGAAGAGACAGAGAAAGAGAGAGAGAGAGAGAGAGAGAGAAGAGAGAGGAGAGAGAGAGAGAGAGAGAGAGAGAGAGAGAGAGAGAGAGAGAGAGAGAGAGAGAGAGAGAGGCGGGGATAGGAACAGGGAGAGGAAGAGAGAGCAAGACAGAGAAGGACAGAGGAAAAGAGAGAGAGAGAGAGAGAAGAGAGAGAGAGAGAGAGAGAGAGAGAGAGAGAGAGAGAGAGAGAGAGAGAGAGAGAGAGAGAGAGAGAGAGAACAGAAGACAGAGAAGAGAGAGACAGAGAGAGAGACTTCATCGCCACGCACGAGACAACGACAGCACGCGGAAACGACAGGGGGCCGGCCGTAGCTGACGCCTCTTCCTCCTCAAGACACACTTACTCAGGCCAGCGTTCACGGCGTCGGGTAGCCGCAGACGCCGCAAAAGCCCCACTCGAGGCACTTGTTTTGCATTTCGACCGCAAGCGCTAAACGGCGACCTAGAACTCGGTCCTTGCTGCTCGTCGGACGGTGGCTCCTACACCAGTTGTGCTGTTGTTTAAAGGAGGAGAGGAGGAGAGGAGGAGGAGGAGGGGGAGGGGAAGGGAGGGGAGGAGGAGGAGGGGGAGGATAGGAGGGAGAGGGGAAGGTAGGGAGAGGTAGAGGAGAGGCGAGGAGGGGGGAGAGGGGAGGGAAAAGGGGAGAGGAAGAGGAAGGAAGAAGAGTGAGAGGAAAAGGGGGGGAATGGTGGGGGGAGAAGAGAGGAGGAGGCGAGGAGAGAGGAGGAGAGGAAGGAGGGGGCAGGGGAAGATGCAGTGGTGTGTGAAGTACTAGAGTGAAAGAACGAGAAATAAATAAGAAAGCGAGAGGGAGGAGAGAGAGAGAAGGGAGAGGAGAGAGAGGAAGAGATGAGTAGAGTGAGAGAGAGAGAGAAGAGAGAGGAAGAGAACAGAGAGATAAGAGAGAAGAGAGAGAGAAGAAAGTGAGAGGAGAGAAAGATGAGAGTAAGTGATAGAAGAAATGCGGAATGATGATGGCAGATTAGAGAGAAAAGAGAAATGAGAGGGGTTAGAGAAAATACAAAATAGGAAAAAATAAAATAGAAGAGAGGAGACAAAAATATATAATAGAAAGAGAAAGAAAAGAAAGGAGAAAGAACAGAGGAGAACAACAAGAGAAGGGAAAAACGGAGACAAGAAAAAAAGAGAAAGAGGAGGAAGAGAGAAAGGGAAGAGAAGCGAGAAAGACCAGAAAGCATCAAGATCAACAGTCTTCAAGCGCTTGATCCAGTGAAAATAAAAA